GGTAATTAACAATTACAAACAACAAAAAAGACAATAAACTAAGTTATCTACCCTAATTACAATAATACGATAAAACTAAATTGCTAAGTTACTTACCAAAACTACTTTACAAGAATCCATTTATTTCATTTACTCCATTATTTGCAGTGGGAAAGGACCAGAAAGGAACTTGCGAACCATTCGTGCTAGTCCATTCTCCCACCCATCCCACCCCCGTGGTGGGATGGGTGGGAGGGTAGACTACAAGAAGACTAGAATATCTAACCATTTCTCGATGTTAGAGAAAGGTGGCAAATTCTTCTCAATTATTTTAAGATCCTGAGTGTTGGTCCGGCCGGGGCTCGAACCCTCGACCTCCCGCACAACAGTCCAGCGCTCTATCCATTGAGCTAACCGGGAGGCGGTTTAATTGGCGTATTTTGATTACTTCCCTTTCTTTATCTTGTAGCCAGTTCATGTTCTCAGAGAATCCTCACAAAGCTTAAACTCTTTTGGGCGGCACACCTGTCGAGGGAAGAAAACTCCTCCACCTTTTCCTCACCGCCCTGGGCTCTTAACTTCTGTTTCCGAACTGAGAAAACTGCAGACGAGGCTGCGTCGGAACTCTCCGGGACATTAACCCGGTTTGAGTAGACTGCGCAGAGTCTTGGCTTCAATTAAAACATTCCTTGCATGGCTCGAAAAATTTGTGACAAAAGTTTTCAGTTAAATACTCTGAGCACTGACAACAGATATCATAGCAAGAGCAGTGTCTACCTAGTATGCTTTATGTATAATAATTTGGCTGGCCTGGAATAGTTATGCTTCGTCCATTCTAGGGGGTTGAAAAATATATATTGAATTACAATAGGTTACGTTCTTTTCAGTCAACAGTTTCTCGGGTGCGGTACTTGCTCAAATTTACCTATCATCTACGTCTTCTTTAAGAAGTTTGCATAACTAACTGGGTCCAATGCTTTTTCACCAAGAACTTTTTCATCTGAGTGACGTAAACACGACTCAATTTAACCATACGTCACTTCAGCAACTCGCATAAGAGTTATTCGAGATACGGAAAAAGTTTGCATATACCACCAAAAGGTAACCCGCTGACATGTAAAGAGCGCATAGTGTTAAACATGGCTGCTTTCAGTTACAAACGGTGGAAGTCTTTCCTAAATCTTCTTATGTTTTATCTGGTTTACACAATGACAAGGTGAAGTCTTCCGCGAAGTCTTCCATCGAAGCAGTTTATCCTTGAACATTTTAAAGTTAAAAAAAGAAAAAATTAGTGGTGCGTTCAGACGCGTTTTTTTCGCGTGTCATTCAGCGTACGTCACGCGAGCTGATGAATGGTTCCTCTTACGATATCCGCTGGTCAAGGTAAAAGGACATATTCTGCCTTTTGTTGGATTGAATCATTTATGGTGCGACTGGCCTGCCATGGGATCAGAATGTAGTGTTGAAAAAGATTACGAGCTGGATGAACCAGTCGAATGTGTTAGCAAAGAATGGAGTATTTACGAAGCGAAAAAGAAACAAGATGGCCTCAAAGTTACTGTTTTTGTCCATGAGAAGAAAGAGAAAGAAAATAATAGTGATTATGAAAGGATTTCTAAAGCTGCACAGGTAAAATATGTTATAATGGATACTGTGTCACGCCACGTAACCTCAGACTTAGAAATGTCGTGAAAAAAAAATTAAAAACTGTCAGTGGTGTTGTCTAATCGTCCTTGTGATGGGTAGTTCTGAAAGGTGGTGTTGTTGGTTCGTGACTGAAATTTTTACGACCTAAGAATTCATCTTCAGATTCAAGTCAGGTTACAGTCAAGTAATTGAATCTGATGATATGTTCCTTTCAGGTTGTAGGCCGAAAAATCAGGAACTTGTACTTACAACTGTCTATTTCAGGAGTCCCCTCACCCATGCTACAGACTGTACAATGATCAATAACACGATGGATTCTCACTCCCTGCTGCAAACTATTTACTGAACAAAAAATTACAAATAAATAAGTTGTTATGCTTATAATCCAACCTGTAAAAAGAAGATCTTGTGTCCCTAGGAGCTAAAAAAATTATATTGATGAATTATTGATATCCAGGGGGTTACTAGCTGTCGATCACCACCCATTTATGACTTTCTACTGCCATCTGTTTAGCCTGCAAGCATATTCTTATGTCTATATTTTGCCTCGCAGTCCTTTTCAGGATAAGTCTGCTTAGTTCACCATTAGCAGCTGCTTTTGAAAGAGTTTTTGAAACTTCTGGTATCATGCAAGTTGATTGGTAAATGATGAATGACAAATTGTTAATTACAGTTTTCTTATTGTCATAATACAATAGTTTTATTGGGGAAAAAGATTACCATTTTTACATCCATAACAGTTACTATTTATCTTTTTCAGTGTCTCAAAACTCTTAAACATCCAACCATTCTTAAACATCATTGGTCTTATGACAGCTCAGAAGAGTTTTGTATGGTGACAGAACCAGTCAAGCCTTTAGAATCTGTTTTAAAGAGTTTAGACACATTGGAGATTGTTGCTGGACTCTATAATGTTGTTGAAGCTCTTGTATTTTTGCACGAAAAGGTGAATTTTTTCAACATATTTCATGCTTTTACCTGAAAACGAGAGAATAAGTTGTAGTTTCTACTGCCTGCATGGAGACTGCTTTGTTTAATATGATCCTTTTTTATCCTTAGTTTAAACCTTAATAGCAGTTGAAATGTCATTTCCTCTTTTTCAATTTGATTGTCATATCTTGCCATTGTCTACTAATTTTATGGATATCAGCACATAATAAGGAAAATAGCAGTGCTATTGACAGAAAATCTCTGATTAAAAAGGGTTTGTCACAAAAATATTTGACCTTGAGGCAGGCCTATTGGAGGAAGTGTTTCTCCATGATAGTTTAGGCTAGAAAGAAGTTAGTCCCACAAATTAATTCTACGGCTACTAAAATCAGGCAAGGACTCATCTATGAAATTTTTCAATATGTGTAACTCGCTTGCTTGAGCAGAAGAAATATAATTATTTTGAACCCTTTTATATAAAAGTGGGTATTCAATAAATTATAAGGTTAGTGTGTGGAATGTTGGCTCTCCATGGCTTTAGGAGAATTTGTTTTATTTAGATAAAAAAAATTATTACTATTGTGTACATTATATTAATAGAGACCAACTCCTTCCTGCCTTTACCTGACAGTAATGTTAGGTAAGGTCTCACAAGATGAGCAGCTTGCACTGCCAGTGAATGCTTATCCCAGTTTTGTCAGCAAGAAGCAACCTAGAGTATTGCTACTTACTATAATTAGGTAGTGAGAGGCAGTGAGAGCACTTCTAGAATAAAGAGTTTAGCCTCATAATAAAACTCTGTGCAGATGCATCTCCCATGATGGTAAGTAATTAATATCATGTTGTTGACATTTTTAAGGGTGGTCTGTCACACAACAATGTTTGCATGTCATCCATGTATGTTAGTGACAATGACTGGGGATGGAGACTTGGTGGAATGGAACATGTATGCAGATTTTCTGAATTAACAAATGAGGTAGGGTTATGTGAGATTTGTGATGCTGTGTCTCTAGTACATCAATTTACACTTCTTGAAAGAGAGATTGCTTTCCTCCTTTCTTGAAGAGTTTAAAGATGTTTACACTTCAAGCCTTGCTTCACTGGTAGCTTTTGCATGAACTTGTACTTTGTTGCACTGACTCTAAACTTTTCTTTGGTCCTAAATATATTTGCTTTTATCAATGATGGAGGAAACATGTCAACTTTTATAATCTTTCAATGACCAGCTCTTCAATCTGTAGTTTTTATTTGCTACGAATTTGTCAGAAAATTGGAAAAATCCAGTAATGTTATATCATTCCTTATTTGTTTTGGTTCATTCCCTGATTTTTTCTTTCTCTCAGATGATATTCTCATAAATA